AGCAAATCCAAAATAGCTATGGTGTTGGCAAATAACAACATTAATATCATATCATAATACTGATTGTTGTAAATTGGAGAAATCAGGCCACATCACTTAAGCGCACTTAAGTACCATCTGTTCAAATTCAAGCTTAAAAAATTGATGATTTGTGACACCCTTTTGTCATTTGATAAGACAATACGGGTGAGAGTTCCGTGGAGCACTTTCGTGGAGAAATCTATACATGGAACTCTAATAAGAATCTGAGTTAACAATATTATAGCTCTATCGATGAGTAACCTACATCACACCAGTAAAGTAAAAAAACAGTGGATTCGATATAGAAAAGAAATAGTAAAAATTTTATCTAAATTTTTATGATATGTCGATTCATCGTAGAGTGTAATGAGTTTTTACACCAAAACTACTGAGATAAATTCACACAGCAATGGTCAGACTTATGGATACTAATGAAGAGATTGTCTAGGGAAACTGTACAAAACACTACGGGAGCCATGTGAACATATTCGACACAATTGCTGAAGTTTTCTTAGAACTCACACCTTATATCAAATCTAAAGATAAGGAAAGCATTATATAATCGATAAGAGATAACAAACATCTCAAGACGTTTGTTTTTCTTACGAATCAGGATTCTAAAATTATAATGTCGCTGGACAAAATGCACTTGAAGCATGATTTTTTAATTTAAAATAGAAAAGTAAACTAATTATTTAAAATAATTACGATGAATACATAAAACCTACTTTATAATACACAATACGATTACATTAGCATGTTAAACCTTTTGGTTTAAAGCCTACTTTGACACCTATCTTATGTTTTGATATTATTTAATACTACAATAACCAGCAATTATTAAAGAAGCAGAGTGTCCTCGTTATAGTGCATACACAATCAGACAAGGAATGCTATTACGATTTCACTATCTCTTAGAGGTAACTTTTGATTTCGGGACGAATACGCTAAAACTTTAATAGGACTCAATTAGCTGTGTCTGTAACTGATATCGCTTAGTACTTGAGAACTTATGCATTGTATTTCGGTGCTTAACATAGACAGTAAATATTTTATATACACGCGGGTAAAGCATCGAAAAGAATATAGATCCACCCCAAATTTCATAAAAACTTTTTGGTGTCAAGTTGTGCAATAACGAATTTTTGAACGCAAATATTTGTTTAATTTCTGTAGAGATACTGTGAAGTTAATTAAGAATTAGCTCGCTTATGGGCTTAAACCTAAGCAGTGACACAACATTTATTCTGTTATCTTAAGTAAATCATAAGTAAAGTTAAGAAATGACATGGTGTGGACTTAAATATAAATATGCATTTAAGTCTGTAATTTAGATCTTATGAATATATTTACTGCAATGTAGATCAATAAACAGTTCATATCAATATAGCTTTGTTAATTATCTTGATATGAAAAATTGCTTGAAAGGAAACTAACTTTAACGTATCTCCAACCCTATCTAACCTAAATCCTTTCTGGTCATGAAGGTTTTCAGAAGTATCTTTTCCGTATTGGCAACGCAAATGATTTGAAATGCATACATTAAGACCGAAAAGTTTTCGGAAATTCTCATTTAAAATTCGCGCGCTGTATATTTTTCGATATTTTAAGTTTATGTAGTTTGGCAGCACTGTCCTTAATTACTATGCCAAAAATGAGCGCGATCTGTCAGACAGTTCGTTTACGGCAGCTGTTGAAACCAGTTCACCTCAGTAGGGCGTTGCGAAAAAAACAATGGAAAAAAATATTGAACAAAGAGTTTGCATCAAATTTTGTGTTTCGAACGAAATTTCGTGTGCAGAATCGTTGCGAATGCTACAAAAGGCTTATGGGGAATCAGTTTTATCGAAAACTCAAGTTTATGAGTGGTACAAAGCCTTCCAGGACGGTCGTACGACCGTCGAAGACATTTCGCAACGCACTACTGAGGTGAACTGGTTTCAACAGCTGCCGTAAACGAACTGTCTGACAGATCGAGCTCATTTTTGGCATAGTAATTAAGGACAGTGCTGCCAAACTACATAAACTTAAAATATCGAAAAATATACAGCGCGCGAATTTTAAATGAGAATTTCCGAAAACTTTTCAGTCTTAATGTATATGCAGATGCAGACGAAGACACCACTAAACATAACATCTTCAAATGCAACAGATGAAACACCACTTGAAACAATAGTCGGTGATATAAACGTTGAAGATATCACAACTAAGATGATAGTAACTAAAGAAAACTACAACGGCATAGACCGATTGAGTTACGATCATACTCAAACGGCAAAAATATGATCTCTAAAATGACTAATTTCGAAAAAGAGGCAAACAAATAAACCTAAGCAAGACCTGGAAGCAGGCTAACGAAAACGAAAAAAAAAATAAAACAAAACTACACACCTACAAAAACATAATATATATATAGATTAGATGAAGATTTTATAGATCATACATAATTAGATATGATCATAAAAGGGATATGAATTACTGTAGAACTCAACGCCTACCAACTGGACAGTCAGACGGCGATTCCAGTTTAAAAGAGTAAAATATAAGAAAATGTTTAATAACTAAAATTTTGTAATGTTAGTTTTTCAGTTGAATTAATAAAAATTATAATAATTATAAAAAGTTGAAAACTTTTTTCACACTTTAAAAGATATTATCGAAACTACCAAATGCAATTAATAACTTAAGTAATGTTACGTAATATTATATATATATTTTTTAAAATATTGACGGCTCCAAATAGTAATGAAAAGACACCAACATAAATTTTAGTTAATTTATTGAAATTTGGCTGACGATACAATGCTGTTTCGAGTATTGCCAAGTACTCATAATCAGTGGTTTTAGAAAATCGAATATTTTAATTAATTAATAGTCCGTATATAATTTGGTTGAACTACAAGTGCCTGTCAACTTAGAACGTGTGCCTGTCAAATTAAAATCGATGACTTATCGGTTGTTGAAGTCCAAACAAATTATATACGGACTATAAACTAATTAAAAAATTCGAATATTTCCTAAGACCACTGATGATGAGTTCTTAGTAATATTCAAAACAGCGTTGTATGATCAGCTAAATTTTAATAGATTAACTAAAATTTTTGTGTTTGTCTTTTCTTTCCTTGCTATTCGAAACCCTCCCTCAAAATTTAAAAAAATATAGTTTCTTTGTCATTATAAGAAAGCGCAGCTTTTTGACAAAACTAATTAAACTTTATATATTATATATTTTTGTTAATTTAATCAATTTTATTCAATGAAATCAGTAATTCTCAGTAATCAGAGAGTAATTAATTCTTTTTAAAGACAGTGAGTCTATAAAAACTATCTTAAAGATTTGCGAACCAATGTAACAGCAAAAACTAGAATGACGTAAAAATTGCAAACAACATACAAATTCCATAATTATTAATATTAGTAACGAATTTTTCTTGATTTTTAATTCTGAATTTATATTTCTATTTTTGATTTGTTTATGCTTTCAGTCTATTTTGTTTATTTCTTAAATATTATGACGACAAAAAAGGCATTGGATTACATACAACGGTAGGTACATATATACATGTATATATGAATTCTGCTAACCGAAACGTGTCTAGATACTACTTACTTACTTAAATATTGTGGGAGTTACTTAGGTTTTGAGCAACAATGTTTATTTATGAGTGAAGATGACAACACTCAATTATATTTGATTTGAGACAAGACCCCAAAATGATTAGAACATGTAATCACATGACGTCGCTAACTTGATTATAAAGTAGTATCAACGAGAATGGAATGATAAATGTGAATTAGTGACGTCACAACTAATGTAATTGCGAATATTTTTTATAATTTGCCACAAACATTAAATTTTTTCCAAGTGTGATTTTATAAAATAATTACGTATGAAATGTCAATATCATGTATTATATTATTCATTTTTATGAAAAAGGTAAGCAAATTTCCTTTTAAATTTAATTATTTTGTTATTTTAATATTATTATTTGATTATTTGTTTATTTAAGTTTAATAAAGATCTATCAATTTTAAATTTTTAACAAGCCTGCATACATAACATTGACTGTAAATATATGGTAGTTTCATTAATTTCCAGTCTCTCTCTAGTATTTGTATATAATATATTATACTTATCGATTCGAAATTATTACTATTTAACAGTTTAATACTAGTTAGAAGGTTTTTCAGCTAAATATCTTTTGTGATTAAGTGGTAGAATTACTAAATGAAATAACAAAAACCCTATTAAAGTAGTATGTGATTATATACAGATGTCAATGACTTTTCAATATTTAAAACACTTTTCACATGTCGATTATATTATGGTAGTACCTTTGAAAAATTCTCGCTTAATTCTCCTACTCAAAAAAAAAAACTTAAAAAAGTTACATCTAATGTATCATTAAGATATAAAAGATAATCATAATGCAGGGTTAGATAATTAATGTGTTATCTATTTAAGCGATCATATCTTTTTTATGTGAAATTACTTTTTCACTAATTCAAATTTCAAAAATTCAACTCGATATGTCCAGACTTTGCCTTGACCATGGCCTTTAAACAGTTAAAAAATGAGTGGTATGCTTTACGAATGTGTTCTTCCGGTAATTTGCCCATTCCTGAAAAATGATTTTCTTCAGAGCATCGTTACTGGCATATTTTTTAGTCCTCACCTTGCTCTTCAAAATGGTCCGGATTGAATAGTGCAACGAATTTGCATCTGGCGAATTCGAAAGCCATTGTGTGGACGGAATGACGTATGGAA